GCCATATTGTCCATTTTAGGCCAATGTCTGTACCAAGTTCTTATTTTGTATTTAAATGTGGTGAAATTGTTCTAGAATATTCAAATTGATATGTATATCTCGGTTTGTTGTTATCTGAACATTTGGATCTTAATTCTACTGCAAAAATGGTTGCGCAGAGTGCTGGACGTGCCCTCGGACTTCTCATTGCTAAATATAAAACTTTTAGTTGGTTTCCCTATGATGTTTACACAAAGTTATATTATTCAAATGTAGTACCTATTATCAGATATGGAGCGGCCATTTGGGACACTAAATCGTTTTCATGTATAAATTCCGTTCATCACATAGCAATGAGATTTTTCTTGGGTATCGGAAAGTATACACCTAATGCGGCTGTGCAAGGTGATATGGATGGAAACCTATTATTGTTGAACAATGGAAGGCTGTTTGTAATCACTGGAGCCGTTCTTTTAACTATCATGACTAAAGGATTAATAAGAAAAAAATTTAATTGGTGTTTAAGTAAAGGAAGTAGAACCTGTAAAAACTGGACATGTATTGTTAAATAAAAATTAGCTAACAGTGGACTACATAGTTATGTCAATATTCCATTTACACAAAGAAACTTGTTAGAAGATATTACAAATTGTATTATGAACGAACATATCATTCAGTGGCACAATGACATTTTACGTGTAAATGGAGTCAATGGTAAAGGAAGAAATAAGCTCCGAACCTATAAACTGTTTAAAAGTGTATATGAAAGTTATTGTAAAATGCATATGTCGTATCCTCATAGATCAGCACTGTCTAGGTTCAGATGTGGGGAGCGCCACTTAGACTTGAAACAGGTCGTTATGAAAATATCACAGAAGAGGAAATACTAATATCGTCGGCTTACTCTTAAAATGTCTTAACTGTCAAAATGCTATTTTGAGAAAAACGACTTTTAACATTTTGCATCTTAATATTTTTTTCCACGTGACCCCACTGAATTGAAATTTTTCATACATCTTTATTTAGGATTTTAATGCCCACAAAAGGCGTTTTTTTTTCTTTCTGGAGAAAGACTGAGAGTAAATATGAAAAAAACAAATTTGAGATAGAGCAAAAGGTCAAAATATTTCTTAAAAAGTCACTCTAAAAGTGCGTCATTGGAGATAGAGCAAAGTAATACCAAAATTAAATGAAGGAGCCAGAGATACGATACTTTAATGGTAGAAATTATTACATGCACTTATTATGCTTGTCCGTATGTGCAATTAGATTTTATTGTAAATCATTACATGCCGTCGCCATAATTTTTCAACGCAAATGAGTGACTGGATGTTTCATTGTATATAATAGTATCCAACTTGCTAAATAACTTATGGGAAAATAAATTCAGATAACCAAAAACATCAAAAGCATCAAACCTAATGTGTTAAGACTTTATGATATTGGCCCCCAGATATTTAGTCACAACAAGTTAAACAATTTATAACTGTTTATCATAACTTTTGTAATATTAATAAATATGACATCGTGTCATGACAAATAGAAATTGATATCTTAAACATAAATACTGATCGTAAGTTACGTTACAAAGAAACATATCTTAATTATAGACAAATATTGATATACATCATATAAAAGGTATAAAATTGTCTTTATATTTGCATATACAGAATGTTTCTTTGCAAAATCTCAATCTGTATGTATTAACATAATTATACAACTGACATAAATGCAAAATGTCTGTATTCAACAAAAACATAAAACAGCGTCTCGTCATACCTTAAAAAAAACATGAAAGATTTGAGTTTTCTATTATCTAACATCTTTTCAATGGATTAAGGTTAACATTATTTAAATGTTATTTACTTTATTTAACAATGTAAGAAAACCTGTTGCCAAGGTACTTCATCACATCTGCCATGTAGTAGTCATTATTATTAAACGTAAATCAGCTATTCATGTGGCTTGTAGTTTTAAATATAAATGCAACAATAACATGATGCCAAAGTACAACATCAAAAAAGAAAATATATTCCAACGTCTCATCATAACATTGAATTTAATTCCTCAAACATAATATTAATCACCTGTAGATGTAGATGAGTATTTGATAAATTGTGTTATAGAATAATACCATAATCAAATTCCTATGATGACTGTTTGCGTAATACTATAACACTTGCATTTATAAAGGTTTATATTTTGCACAGACTTTTCATGAACATGCGATCCTCTGTCGGTATAAATCGTAGCATGGTTTCTTTATCATTTTTCTTGTAATCAGACAAACCCTTTCCACATTTTAGAATTTAGGCAAAGGAAGTAGGTTCTTTACAAGATAATTTTGTTGGCCTTAGAATTGTCGCCTCTGTGTACTGGTTTAAAAAACACTTGAAACGGCAATCCGTTCACATATTTGAATGCTTTAACTCTTGTAAATGGGTCAGAGTTAAATGTGAATTATCTGCGACTGCTCGCAAGTAAAAAATCACGTCATTTTTAGTTCTATGATAACGGTTTTATCTGGACGACTTGCTTAAGTTTGCTAATTAGACTTAGAGGACTGTAAATTTCTGAAACTTTCAGCTTTTTCTCTGAATGTGAGTGAATGTTATCAATTTCCTGCATACTGAAATGTCCAGGAGTACAACATTTCTGAACAATTTCAACCACTTCAGGAGCATTTTGTTGAAATAGTTATAAAGCAGTGGTCATCATGCTGTTCCGGTTTTGTGGTACACAACTATCAGATCACAACGTTATTTTCTTAATATGAGGATGAGCATTCAAAGCGTTTTCTAAAATAAGAGTAATAACAGCACTAGCAAGTTCATTAGATCCTCGTCCATCAACTTGTTCATTTCATATAACATTATATTCAACTTTGTCCAGAAAGCAGTGACACAATAGGATAATCAGCCTCAAAATCACACAAAAGTCTTGACAATCGCTTATTGGGTCGTTAAATTTTCTACAAAATTTGTTCATTTTTGTCATGCCGATATAGCCCAAAATGTGTATGAGGACGCCGTCGGGCAACAACACGAGGTTTAACCTATAATGATATTTAAATTAAAGTAGATTATAATATCAGTGATTTAAGCATAGCTCACGATAAAAATGAAAAGGTAAACTTTAGTTTACTTATTAATGTATCCGAAATATTGTTTATCCGAATTATATTTACTAGGTTTTGCAAAACTTCTTAAAATTCTGAGATTACAGTGCATTCGACATTAAAAAAGCAAATTGCAGTTACACGTACAGAGATTTTAGTTTAATATACTCACATATTATTACTTTATCTTGCTTGAAAACACAATCAATGGCATTACAAAAAATATTGGCAAGACAATTCTCTACCGGAAGTTTTGACTTAGCGCACTATCATTGCAAAAACGACCAAGGTCACCTGACCATCAGTTCGTGTTTTGATTGGCTTATTTCAGGTTTCACTATTAAATTGTCCTAAGTAACGTACATACCCTACTATAAGGATAAAACAATCATGCGAAATGTGGACAGAGCAAAGTTCATACTCGGTAACAACGTTTCTAGGTCATCATAACCTTGAACCCAAAGCTTAAAAGATAGAGCAATGAAAGGTAAAAAGAATGGTTCAATTATCTCAAATTTTGCAAAAATGGACATAGGACACTTTTAGAGTTAGGAGACGCTATGTTTGTTCTGTTAAGTCGGCATAGAAAATGAAAAACATGTTCTTTTGGAGTGTCCCATGTATGAATCAGATAGAGCTGAATTAACAAATAAGGCTTATAGTTTAAATGAAGATTACAATACCATGAATGAAACAGATAAACTGGTTTTTCTTTTTACAAACCTAGATACATGTATGATAAGATTACTTACAAAAACCTGTTGTAACATTCTTACTAAAAGAAATAGTATATTATAGTCAAAAAACTCAAGAAAAATAAGATCTTAGCAGATGATTAGTATGTTTTAAGTCAGAATTTTTAGACCATTTTATGTGATATATTATCCCTTTTAATTACTATTTTACGGTGTTTTAACTTGTAAATGTCTGTATGATAGCAAGAATTGTAAATAAGGGAGACAACTACATAATGTAAATAGACAGTATATGTCTGTGTAGGTTATGAAGTTGTCCCCTTATAAGCTATTATACTCTCATATAATTCTATAATAAGAATTGCTATACTTGAAATGTATGTATTATATCTGTTTTATGTCTGTTTTTATATATGTAAATCATGTATAGATGAGACTTAAATAAATAAATATAAATACATATGTTGTGCGTTCTTCACGGAATTAAGACCGCATTAAAGGGCGCTGATTATCTCATAAGAGACTAGCGATAATCATCGCCTCTATAGGGCGACATTAAGGCAATATTTCGCAGTTATTAAATTTCGCCAGTCTTTTGAGCGATAATTAGCGCCCTTCAACGCGATTATTATCGCGTGAGGAACACACAACGTCCAAAAAAAGACGATAATTATTAGTTGAAATTGTTAAATTTCGCTTGTATAAGTGTCCTCGGTTTTTAAAAAGGCGATAATTATCGATTGAGAAACTAGCAAAATTTAAGACATGCGAAATTTAGTACTTAATATCGCCCTTTAGAGGCAATAATCATCGCGTGTTAACTAGCGGAATTTTGTGGACGAAATAGGATACCGTAATATACAGTTTTCTTTTTGTTTGTTTGTTTGATATTCGCAACATAAATGAAACCTTTCTGACAAAAACACACGTCAATACAAACGTATTTTTCTTCTTTAGGTACTGGCAGTGTTAGGGGTTTAACTGTTCGTCGCACCAGCACAGTATATGTCAAATGATTGAGGTGGACCCAATGCGCCCCTGCGTGCATATTTGTAGGTACAAGTGGACACCTTGGTAGAATCACCGATTTTCTGGAAACTACCTTGATTGCTTCCTGACCAACAAACGTCCCATCTACTTTGTAAAGTTGGTATCAGTTGTATGTAAAATCGTAAAATCATGTTTACCTTCATACAAATTTGACATACCTTATCAATATCACCTAATCCCTCTGTATCAATCAGCAACAGAACTGTGTTAGACTTTTTTGGATGTATTTTACACCATGCCCAAATTCCTTTCGTTTGCGATTCAATTGTATCTCCCAATGCAAATCCTGCATCAAAACCATTACTGACAGCATCATGTAACTTAAAAATCAAGGAGTGTCTAAAGGATACAATATTCAATATTCTATAATTATTTGTTTTTCTTTTTGAAATTGACACCAATTTGAAAGTGGAGTGGTCATTTGTATAGTATATGTTGTATGTCTGAAATTTATTTTCCTAAATTTATTTTAAACCTTATAAAGTATATAACATTAAAGAAAAATATCCTTATCTGATATCCAGCGTCAAGTTTGTATTAAGTACACTTTACCTTCAGATGAGACTGCTTCGGCTAACTGATTCATCAGATACGATTTCCCGGTTCTGTACAAACCAACTATGGCTACTACAACTATTGGCCATTCTATTTTACTTATTTCATTTAATACGGTAGGTTCAATCTTTAGAGCGATTTCCGTTTCTTCACCCTTCTCGTTTTTTATACTTTCAGCGCTAATCAAACACATGGGATGTTTAAATATGTCCATGTCATTTGGGGACCAGCAACTGTTATATAAAAACATTTCCTATTGAAAATAAAAAGACCAGTACAACATATTTTTGTTTTGTTTCTGTTTTATATTATTAAGATAATATGTTACTTTAACCGGTTGACTTAATTTTTGATGTAGGTAGAATAAATTCGGTATGTATTATCGTAATTACATATCAAATACAATTTATATCCAATCATTTAATAATATCAAATGTTGCATAATGAAGTTATATTTTTTTCGAATAAAGTAAATGAGTTTTACTCTGTGAATATTGCAATTTTTACGTTGTCTCACCTCGGAAAATGCAATAAAAATGAATATAATTCAACAATCGGTTGCTATACTAAATTACAAATAAGACACCTAGATAAACTAGAACATCTTTGTAAACGACTCAGAGATATAGTTAACAAAACGGCATGAAATATGGTAAACAGCAACCATATGGAAAAACAAACTAACTCTTTTTATGTAGTATTTTTTTATTTAATAAACATCATTGTTTAGTGACTTACAGAGGTCCTTTGATTAACACGTCGTTTACTTTTGCTTGCAGTTCTTTTTTAAATTCTGGTGTTGACCTTTAATGATAAAAAACACTTTGTAAGCAAATATGAACAGGCAATGCAAAACATCCTAGTACCGATATATGAATGTTAACATGTAATTCATTTTTATGGCTTTATATCATACATATAATGCTCAAATGAACATTTATTAATATTTGAAGTTCCAAAAGCATAATTTGTAAGGATATTACAGGTTATTATAGTCATTCTTTCCCAAAAAGAAATGAATGCATATATTTTCCTGATTACATGAATGTGCAGTACATATTTTACATATTTTTCGACGTTTAAAAATGTTTTAGAAGTATGATTATATACATAATATATAAGTGTGGTTACAACCTTAATTACAGCATACAGGATCTTTAAAGGGTGTTTCCTATACTTTCTTTTTTCTCTTGGGTCGACACAATATTTCAATTACAAGACCTTAAGAATAAAATAACGGACATCCGGTACACAGTGACAACAAGAGCAATACACCGGCACCCGCTTAGAAGTATTAATCATTTAATCATTTAAATGATGACCATTTTAATTCAGAGATATCTTATTAACGAACGAAGATCAACATTTTTTTTTACTCAACTTTAATAAAAATCAAATACACATTTATTAATTCGCAGCAGTGTGACTGATCGTCTGAAATGCTATTGAAACATTTAAAAATTGAGATGCATTTTAAAAATTTGTTGTTTAACTTGTAAATGAATACAAAGAAGCACAATTGAAGCACTGGTACTTTTTAAAAGTTTTGGTCATGATCAAATGTATTTATATGGGGTGATATTTAAATATATGAGATCTGTCAGTAATAGGATATGTTAACAAGGATAGGATCAAAGTGAACGGAATGTGTAGATATATCTTTGTCTGCGCGATTTGTTTTATTAAACTAGTCAAAATTAACAACTTATTTTACATTTTTGTTTAAATATTTCGTTAATTTATCGGATTTAAGTCATATCGACCCTATAGAATTGGCAAAATCGGAACGTTTTATAGCGCCAAACAGCAAACTGGAAATGTGGCTCGCTTTGTTCGATTGAACCTATTCATTGAGTAAATTGTTATAACAAGTTATCGTCTATATAATTATGACACATTTTCAGAATAAGTGTAAGTTAACGTCAGGTGTCATTCCGTGCTTTATCACATACACGAGCGATATTTCCATGTCATTTGGGGACCAGCCACTGTTATATAAAAACATTTTCTATTGAAAATAAAAAGACCATTACAACATATTTTTTTCTGTTTTATATTATTAAGATAATATGTTGCTTTAACCGTTTGACTTAATTTTTGATGTAGGTAGAATAAATTCTGTATGTATTATCGTAATTACATATCAAATACAATTTATATCCAATCATTTAATAATAACAAATGTTGCATAATCAAATTATATTTTTTTTCTAATAATTTATAAGTAAATGAGTTTGACACTGTAAATAGTGCAAGGTTTACGTTGTCTCACCTCCGGAAATGCAATAAAAATGAATATATTTCAACAATCGGTTGCTATACTAAATAACAAATAAGACACCTAGATAAACTAGAACATCTTTGTAAACGACTCAGAGATATAGTTAACAAAACGGCATGAAATATGGTAAACAGAAACCATATGGAAAAACAAACTAACTCTTTTGATGTAGTAATTTTTATTTAATAAGCATCATTGTTTAGTGACTTACAGAGGTCCTTTGATTAACACGTCGTTTTCTTTTCCTTGCAGTTCTTTTTTAAATTCTGGTTTTGACCTTTAATGATAAAAACACTTTGTAAGCAAATATGAACAGACAATGCAAAACATCCAAGTACCGATATATGAATGTTAACATGTAATTCATTTTTTATGGCTTTATATCATACATATAATGCTCAAATGAACATTTATTAATATTTGAAGTTCCAAAAGCATAATTTCTAAGGATATTACAGTACATGTTATTATAGTCATTCTTTTCCAAAAAGAAATGAATGCATATATTTTCGTGATTACATGTAAGGTAGACAAAAATGTGCAGTTCATATTTTACATATTCTTCGACGTTTAAAGATGTTTTAGAAGTATGATTATATACATACTATATAAGTGTGGTTACAACCTTAATTACAACATACAGGATTTTAAAGGGTGTGTCTTATACTTTCTGTTTTCTCTTGGGTCGACAAATATTTCAATTACAAGACCTTAAGAATAAAATAACGAACATCCGGTACACAGTGACAACAAGAGCAATACACCGGCACCCGCTTAGAAGTATTAATCATTTAATCATTTAAATGATGACCATTTTAATTCAGAGATATCTTATTAACGAACGAAGATCAACATGTTTTTTTTTCACTCAACTTTTAATAAAAATCAAATACACATTTATTAATTCGCAGCAGTGTGACTGATCGTCTGAAATACTATTGAAACATTTAAAAATTGAGATGCATTTTAAAAATTTGTTGTTTAACTTGTAAATGAATACAAAGAAGCACTATTGAAGCACGGTTACTTTTCAAAAGTTTTGGTCATAATCAAATGTATTTATATGGGGTGATATTTGAATATATGCGATCTGTCAGTAATAGGATATGTTAACAAAGATAGGATCAAAGTGAACGGAATGTGTAGATATATCTTTGTCTGCGCGATTTGTTTTATTAAACTAGTCAAAATTAACAACTTATTTTACATTCTTGTTTAAACATTTCTTAAATTTATCGGATTTAAGTCATATCGACCCTATAGAATTGTCAAAATCGGAACTTTTTAAAGCGCCAAACAGCAAAATGTAAATGTGGCTGGCTTTGTTCGATTGAACATATTCATTGAGTAAATTGTTATAACAAGTTATCGTCTATATAATTATGACACATTTTCAGAATAAGTGGTGTAAGTTAACGTCAGGGGTCATTCCGTGCTTTATCACATACACGAGCGAGCGCAAATATTAACTATCGTATGCCAGAATATAAGTTTCCTGATAGGAAAAAAACTTTTAACAATATTAGAATTGCAGCCACCTTTATCTCTGCGTGATCAAAACTGGGGACTACCAGGGTGTTCTAAAAATAATGTCATTTGTGTATTATCTCGTGAACATCGTGCACTTTGTATTATTAACCACTTTGGACTTGTATAATAATCACTGAAGCATTACAGTTCACATTTTCACTGACCTTGATACAATATACATTGCTTTGTAGCGTATTCATTACACTATACATTAAATGAATGGCAGAAGAGCTAAATATGTGCTTGACATTAGGGCTTATATAAAAGGCCGGACATTACTAGACATAAAGCATGTAGATATTCACCGTGTGGGGTGCAACATTTGTTGGGAGGGTATAATGTCTCACATATATTTTTGTAAATTTTAGAATAAACACAAAAAACAGTCAGCAGCAAGTCAAAGATGCTACTATCCTAGGCCATCCTGCACCAACAAAGAATAAAAGATAGAAACAATAGAAATATTCTGAACACAGATACCCGATACACTTTGAGGAATTTATCATGGTTAATAAATTTGTCTTAAGCACTTAGTCTAGATCGTGGTATTAAAAAGACACATCTTCAACTTCAGAAAATAAATGCAAGGATATCCCATTTGCTAACATACGAACAAAAGAGAACTCGTGTTGCAAATGCAAAAAAAGCTTCTACAAATGTATCCCAAATATAACAAAAAACGCTTTTAACAACTTCGTTACCTGACTACTTGTGACGGGTTTACTATTTTGAGTCAAAGCAGAAATGTAGATTTTTGGGCCAATAAAAATGCAAAACGTCTAAATATCGCAAAGCGCAAACCCACTGTAAAAAATGTTTTGAATGCGATCTCTTTGATAGTAAAGGATCAGTAATTCCGATACCAAAAGACAGAACAGTAACAGTAAAGCTGTACAAAAAAGTTGTTTTGAAAAATTAAGTCCTGCTACAATCGGCTTGTGACCGATTTATTGGCATCAGAAAAAGTTACTGTCCTTCCGCATCCTCCGTAGTCATCAGACTTGGCCGCTTGTGACTTTGTCTTGTTTCAAAAACTCAAATTGTCTGGAACAGGAAACAAGTCGAGAAATGCCCTTGGGTGGTCTGCTGTTTATCAGTACCTAATGAGTGTCCCCATGACTGAGTATGAATTCTGCTTTCAAAGTTAGACTGAGTGACGCAAACTGTGTGTTCAGGTGGGTGGGGAGTATTTTGAGGGCAAGGGAAATTTAAAATGCGGAATAAACTTTTAGTTTAGGAAATTAGAAAAGCAAAGGCTAATGACATTAGTTTTGGAACACCCTCGTAAATTGGTTCGAATTCATGGAATAGAGAAAAACAGAATCCATATGAAAGTCCAACACGGCAAAATTGTCAAATTTTGCAGGCTCGAGTCTATGCATCTCTTTACTCGAGCAGGTTAAGTGGTTTTGCCAACTAAATCATATGTAGGCATTTATTGGGCTACATTGAACGCCACTATTGCCCCAAAAGATAGTGTTAGGGGCATGCGATTAAAAAGTTTTTGATCAAATAATTTTAGTTAAAACAATTTAATTTTTAACAAAAATAGAAACAAAGGGCCAGTGGCTGTTTTTAGCTCTAAATTTTTGGTCTCAGTAAGGAAAAAGTTAAATTTTTTTTATTCCTAAAATAATTAACTAAATCAAAATAATCCTTTTACTATTTCGGTTCACGGAATATATTTTACTTTAAAAATATCTTTAGAGGTAACAAGATAGCCTAACAATACATCAAAAATTTTAAAAATAAAATTGTGTTCCATTTTAAACCAGCTTTAAAGGACAAACTAAAAACACATCGATGATTTAACATTTTTTTACATAGTTATTTTTATAAATGGAAAGTTAATTTTTTTCTTAAGAATTTTTAAAAAGAAACTTTATACTTATCGTACTTTTCTGATTTTTTTTCCTGGAAAAAATTTTATAAACAAAAGGGGCTGAAATGACAAGTATCCATTAAAAAATTACGGCATTTTCTCAAAGAAGAGAACTACATTAATTTTGCTGAGGACACCAGTAATGCTTTGGGTTATACTAGAGACACAAAGAAATTTTATTTGAAACCAAAAAATTGCAGAATTAGGAGGGTTTGGATTTATGCTCATGCATTTAAATATTCTAAAGGGAATTGCATGAATTCATGGTTTTTGTTACAATTTCAAAAAAAAAAAGTAAATTTAAAATTTTTTTCTGGCAATTTTAAAAAAAATTTTTTGGGGAAAAAATTTTGGTAACTACATTAAGGTGGAGTCTGGGTTGAAACCGTTTTGCATGTTTTATTCAAAATATTTTGTGCCAAGGGTTATTTTTAAAACCCCTAAATTGATAAAATATTATAAAAAATTTTAATCATAACTACCTTGAAATGAGGCGTCGCTGTGTGTTTGTGTCTGGCACGACACGTCATCTTTGCGTACTGTGAAACTTTTAGTGTAAAGTATGTTTAATTTTTGTGAATGAAACAGTTATGAACTTAGAACAAATTAACAGACTACAACATAACCATATTAAACATTTGACCTCAAAGTGTGACCTTGAACCGTAGAGATAGAGGTATGGGTGTTTTTGAGCTCGACATATCGTTTTTCTGGTGTAAATAATTGCCAAGTATTTTCAAAATTCCTTGATAGTTAAAAAAGTTATGTACAGGACTCAAAATATACCCTATAACAGACTTTGTAATTATTTGATCTCCAATGATGACCTTGACGTTGTAGATAGGCGATAGGTTAGTGCGCATGACACATTGTCTCAGTATTGTAAACATTTGTGCAAAGTAACGTCAAGTTATGGCCCCGGAACAAAAAATAAATTACCCCTTTAAAAAAAAATGTTAATATTTGACCTTCACCCTGTACAATTGCTTTAGGTTTTCTAATAATAAATTGTCCCGCAAAAGTTCTTCATTTGGTATCGATATCAAAAGAAACTCCATCCCCTTAGTAAATTGAGTTTTTTAATTTGGTTAAAATACTTTTTAAAAGTACAGCTTTTGTTTTTTTTTTTTTTGTGTATTCATTGTAAAATTTCCTTCCCCCTTTCCTTTGCTTTTTAAAACAAATTTTTTTGAATGTCCACAAAATTTATAAACATGCCATCATTAAAAATATCTTGTAAAGATTTTGCTCCCAATAGTAGTCCTCACATCGCGTATTACCCCATGATGTACAACAATTAAAGCTCGTGGCTCTGCATGAAGAGTTAGTTGATGGTACTCTAGTTTTACATTCATCTTGGGAAATATCTTGCAATCATGAAATTTATAAGTAAAGTCTCTTATAACAGGTAAAATTCTGTTTCGCTCAATATAGTTACGTGTTTGGCACTCTCAAATGTACACACGCCTTTATCATATGCAATACCAGTGACTCTTTATCCATATTGAAATGTCTCTGTTTTTCTTGGACAACTAGGAGTGAACACCATTATACAGGCTCTCGTGGGTCCGATGTCTCAAAGATCACTTCTTGTGACTTACGGGTTTCAAACTATCAGTAAAAACCTGAAGTAAAATGGCATTGGTTTTAGGGCTTTTGTTGAACGGGTTTAAAGCTTTTTCCTTTATATAAAATTGCACAAAAATTTTATGTTTTTATTTTTCTTATTCGCAATTTTTCCTAAGTATAAAAAACCTTTTTAAAGTTCAATTTAATCTATTTCCGACGCTCGTATTTTCAAAATTTTTTCGTTTTTTAATTTAAATTCGTTAGGTTTTTGTATGATGCCCCGGTGTATAACTTAATATCATAAAGTTCTTTTGTCTTGGTCCCTTAAATTTTGCAACAAATGTTGTTTTTTTTTGTACAAATTCCTAAACGTACTTCAAAATTACCCAGATACTCCGCCTTTTTTTGAATTTTTTTCAAGTTTATATGCCTGTCTTTGCCCTGCCCTTTTTTTGTTGGGTCCAGCTGGGCTCCTTGCCTCTGTTTCTTGTTGCTTGGTCATATGGGGGTTGCGTTCATTGAACGCCGCCTGTCCTTGTTGATCTTGTTTTTCATATTTTATATGTTCAGTATCACGCAGTTGCTTATGAATGTGATAACATTTTACATGTAACTATAACATCTGCTCCACTGTGAGATTTCATGTAAACAATGACATCATTTAAAATAATTGGAACTGTCGTTTTAAAATTGACTAGTCTGTGTACTCCTACTTACCCAATTCTAAGATGTTTCACTGGATCATTAACAATATGAAGATCTTGTATATCTGAATCATCTGTGTCTGACTCACCCATGGGCCATCGCACGTCTCTGGTAGCTACTCCTCTAGTATGTCTGTTAAAATATCTGTTCTTTTGTGTGTTTACAAAAAAAATTTTCCGCACAATGTTTAACTTACCAAATTTTACCATAGGGGACTCTCGTTATTTTGGGGTTTCCTGGGGACCCCCTTGCTATGGTTCTTGTTTTTGGGTTGTTAGGGGGTTTGGTTTATTGGAAGGCCCGGTCTTTTTGTTTTTGTACATATTCTTTCTGCTTTTCCAGCAACATTATTTATACTTCGAGGGCGCATACTTCTGAACTTTTAAAAGTTAAGTATCTTTGGGGACTTTCATCTCAGTCAATGTTTCATGAAGTGTCCATTCCTTTTGTAATGGTTTCCGATTTTTATCTTGAAAGGTTTTCATCGTGAAGTCTACATATTTCACATTTTGATTGGCCATAAATAGTATATGACTCCTATTGATTTTCGAGTCACTAGTCCAAGGGCAAGATCACAAGGACTTTAAATGTCAGAATGGTTTCCGCTCATTATCTTGGTTACAATTTATTGCAAAGTCTTGATATTTCACAAATTTATTGGTCATACCCAGTAGATGAGCCCTAATGATTTTGGGACATAAGGTCAAATGTCAAGGTCACAGGGGCCTTAAATGTCAGAATGGTTTCCGCTCATTATCTTAATTACAATGTACCACAGGGGCATTGAATGACAATATGATTTCTGCTTATTGTCTTGTCTACTTTTTATCAAAGAGTCTTCATATTTCACATATTGGCCATAACTAGTAGATGACTATTGATTTTGGGGTCACCAGGTCAAAATCAAGGTCAGAGGGTCTTTGAATGGAAATATGATTTCAGATCATTATCATGCAAACTATTTATCATAAAGTCTTCATATTTCACGTACTGATTGGTCATAACTAGTAAGTGACCCCTAGTGACGCCTTGTGATTTTGGGGTCACTAGGTCAAAGGTCAAGGTAACAGGGTTGTTGAATGTTAGTATGGTTTCCGCTCATTATCCTGAAAGCTATTTATCACAAAGTTTTCATATTTTTAATATTGATTGGTCATAACAATTAGATGACACCTATTTATTTTGGGTCACTAGTTCAAAGGTTTATGTCACAGGGGCCTTGAATGTCTCATAAGCTTGAAAACTATTAATAAAACAATCTTCATTATTATTTATTTTTTCCATAATTGAACACTTCAATGTTCCGATTTATGGCAAGTTTCTATAACAAAATTAGCAATTATGTCAGTCAAGTGCTAGAAACGGGGGATATGTGTCGACATTTCTTGTTTGCATTATTTGTTCCAATATTCTTCCATTAATGTTATGAAAGTTGCAGTTTACAGTTTTTTTCTCGAAATCTCGCTGCATATGGTGATGTCCTTTCCCCTTCCGTGAGTCTCATTTTTAATTACATTTATAAATATATCGAATAGTTCAAATACTTTTTCGGTGCAAAATATTCTGTTCTCTAAGCTTGATATAAACATCAACCTCACCCGAGTCTTGAAGTTTCTTGCTTCCCATCAAATACCAGCATTATATCATTTGTGTTGTTTTATGTTGCTTAATGCAGGCAAGTCTCATGTCGCACTCCAGTTCACCTAACCAATAATCCCATCTACTTCACCCCGCTGTGTGGTCTCGAAATAGGAGCTTATAGTTATACTCTAGCATGTGCTAAGTAAGCATCCAAATTCTGATGTTACCTCTCGCCAATGTAGCTATATTAATAACTTATTCATGATTGTAAGTTTTTTATTCACTACTAATAATACACAGAACGTTCTCAATGATATCTAAACTCAAGAAGCTTATTTACATAAGCTGCATAAATTTGTCAATATATTATTAGGAGCCTGGGTCGCGACGTAGTCTCTAATTCTGAATTACATTTTTTTTAATTCTTCAAGATAAAAAGAATTGACCGTAACTACATACACCTAAATAGACAATTGACCTAACGACCGGTGACCATACTTCTAAGTGTCGTGTGCGCAGACACATCTGTCAAATCATATATTTAATGACAAGTTATGTCGGCACGAATTGACTACGACGAGTTATTTTTATCTGTCAGACGTATCTGAGTGGTCACAAGGACTTGTTATTACAAAGGAACTTGCTAGACAGAGTAATAAACGTCTTCCTTGTGCTTCTGTACTTGCTGCGCTTCTAGACTTGCTGCGCTTCCTGGACTTGCTGCACTTTGCTGCGCTTCAAGACTTGCTGCACGTTTGGACTTGCTGCACTCCTGGACTTGCTACGCTTTTGGACTTGCTGCGCTTCCTCAACTTGCTGCGCTTTTGGACTTGCCGCGCTTCCTGGACTTGCTGTGCTTCCTGGACTTGCTGCGCTTCCTGGAATTGCTGCGCTTCCTGGACTTGCCGCGCTTCGTAGACTTGCTGCGCTTCTTAGAATTGCTGCGCTTCCTGGAATTGCTGTGCTTCTTAGACTTGCTTCGCTTCCTGGACTTGCTTCACCACTTCTGCAGAAAACTCTAAGACAATACTGAAAGGTCCTTATTCGGGAACTAAGTTTTTTTTTTATTTTTCTGATCTTCTATTAATGAACATCAGTTCTCTTTATTTGTCTCAATATATATAGCAACGGCACGAACCTGATAGAAAACAATTGACGTGACGTCACAATATAATCGACGTCGCAGTAAAATAAAACAAAAGTGTGTTTCTTTTGACGCACTAAAATACTTATAACTTGAGTTTAAAAATACCTATCAACATGAAATAAAGTGCAAATTAAAATTCAGCTAAATATCTAAAAACTGATTTAAAAATGAATTGAATCAGATTCGTGCTGCTGAAACAAACATAAAATAAAACGATAAAAATACTAAAAAAAATACAATCTTGACATCCTCCCACTTTTCCTTCGAAGAGACGGGGGCAATAAACATATTAACTACATTGTGAAATACATTTACTTAAAAAGGTGTATTAAATATATGATTAAAAATCTGAAATGCCAAAACGTTTCAGAAAAGGATGAAATTATTTATAGTGCAAACCGTTATGTAAGCAATGCGTTTTCTGAGGATGTTTACATGATTTGCTAGCAAAATTGCAAATTGATTAACAGTAATACAACCTTTTGGTGGTCTATGACGTTCTTCTTGTATAATCTTTTGTGGAGTCTGTATGAAACAAACAAAAATGTTTTAGCAAATACAGCAACGAATGTCATAACAAATTGTCCATTCAAATATTGTTAAAGCCGCAAATGTTCTTCAAAAGCAATATCTTAAAAAATATATTTCATATTTTAATATTTGAAATCTGTAAACTATGACATTGGAGAAATTGTGTAATACCTGAATGGGTTGTTTACTTTTCAATTCAAAGAAATCACGTTTTGACTTGACGTCCATGCTTGCCTTTTTGTCACAATAGTCGGCCAATGCACAGGTATAGTTTGGATAGCTAAGGATAAAGATATGATTTTGTCAAAATATTCTTTGTTCTGCTTACCACCCACTAATTTAAAAATGGTTTCAACTTTTAGGTAACTTGAACTTTACAACATTTCACTACAGCTTTACTGACACTGTGATTAATTTTATTGATTAATTGTTTTAAATCGGTAGCATTTTCACTACAGTTTGTACAACGTCAGTTAAATATTGGAAGGACTTAAAAATAAAGTTTTCTTAGATTCAAGCTATATATAGATACAAAACGAAGTACTAAATATAATGTTTATTTATTTTCTGGTAGAATGCATGTTAGAAACTTAATTTTAATTATATTTATTGAAGGGTGTCGGTTGAATTGTAAAGTATACCACTTATGTAAAATGATACAATATCTCACAAATACGTTTGTTTTAATTGTGGCAAAACAGAAATGGTTCATTACACCTATACAAGGATTTTAATTAGAGTTGACTCATAATAACCTTTGTCCTCACATCTAAATATCTGGAGGCAATAATATAACCTTTATGTGTGTTGACTTCTTTTTAAAACCACACGTACTGTGTTTCTCACTCGACATTCATAGTTAAATTTGTCTGACCTCTTTCCTTCTGCACAATTTGTCGTTTGAACGATTTCTATCAAATCATAAGACTGTTTTTCAGTATTCAGTAAATGATAAAACGTTCACAAAACAGTTCGTGTTAAGCCTGCGTATATCTAAAATATATTATTACTGATATATATTTTTTTACAAAAGCAATTGTACAAAATGCATTTAACCATAATTTAATTGAATGGAAAACAAAATGGGCCAAAGCCTTGTTTAACAAACTTCATGATATCAAACCGTGCTTAACATATCGCTATATCTGTCTCTTCTCATGAGCAAATGGTTCTTCTTAGATGTAGAATTGAAAATATTTAAGTTACACATTTTCATCTTTTAACAGGAAATGGCGCTCGTTTTGGTAAAGGTTGCAATAGATATTTCTGTCAAACATTTCCACTTTGATTGCCGTAGTATTACACCAGCTCCTATCTGATAAATTTAAGATTATAGATTCATTTTGATATCTTGCAAGTAGGTGGCTTGCCACCGTATTTCCTTGACCTTCGTTGTGATTCTGTTTTGCAGAGAAACTTATTTTTTGAAACATACAAACAAACCGTACTTTGCAGATAGGCAGCAGACAAAGTATCAAACTATCGCTGTCCTTGAAAGTTCAAAATAATTGTTCACTTACCAAAACAAATAAGTTATTTGAAAGAAATGAACTTTTTGACTCATTTCCTTCTAATGCTTTGATCACTTACGTAAAAGAAATAACACTGTATCATAATATTTTAAGACTTAAAGTGTATAAAAGCTATATATGTGATGCAAAAATTATTGTTTGAATTAAAAATAAGATACACTTCAAAAATGCTTGTATGAAATAAATATGGTAATATATTGCCTTAAAACCGAGTGGCTTATTCGCAAAATCATAGGTAAACGAATAAAATCCTTCTTAAAATAGCAAAATAATATTTTATTATGTTTACGTATGTTATTCATTTGTAGTTAATAACAGTGACATTCTATAATACATCTTTTTCGAGAATCAACCATATAATAATAGAACCAATATAATTTTACTGTTGATGATTTAATTAAAATATTTCATAAGCTATAGGTTTATACTCTTTAACTAACTCATTGTATAACCTTGCACTAACCCTTTCTTAAGGTTTAATAATCTTACAGTCGCCTGCGCTTATAACTATTTCAATCTGACATTGAAATATCGTTCGTTATATCCAAAATTTGCTAACAGCGAAGTAACAGCAACTTCCTGACTTGTTAAGTTGGGCAAATCTGCCGTGAAAAAGCCATACTTATCACTAGTCACATGTGTAATAGCGGTTACTTATTGCGGGGTCATTTTATTGAGCAATACACATGTGCTTATCATTTGTATTCCTTTGATATTTGTTTGTTATTATTCGGGTAATAATGTATACACAAACATCGCTTGAATGGTAATTGTTTGGTATTTACAGCGATTTATCAACTGAAGGTGGGAAATACAAACTTACCGTAACAAGGAAATTATGTTGTGAGAACATTTCATCAAAATATTTACTCCTTGAATCTATTACTGACCTGAGCAATAACTTGATTGAATAATTATAGGATAGCGTTATTCATGATCTTAATTGAGCGCATCCCGATATTTCAATAATAACAGTTTGTGTTTTACCCTAAGAAATTTACATGGTTTTTACCGTTTGGGGCTTTAAAATATGGTAAGCTATGGCGAATCTTCGTTTTTAGCGACTACGTATTAAGCGATATTATTTAATACAAAATAAAAAAAGAATCGACCGGATATATCAGATTTAGTTCGCTTTAAACGATTATTCTTTATAAGCGAGTTTGTTATAAGTGGAGTCGACGAAAAAACAAACACAAAAAAAAAACAACAAAAAAACAAACAAACAACAACAAAAAAAAACAAAGAAGCTACTAAGCATGAAAACACTTATATCTGCATGTTTTTAATCAATAAAATATAGTTTGAATGTTAAATCAGGATATTTCTTTTGAACATTTCCTGAATCGTTTCCGGAGTTAGCACAATGAATAAAAGACATTTTCTGTTGTTTCATAAACACAGTTGCTGGTAAGGCATATTTATAATAGTTTTATTTTTAACAAAATAGAAACTTAACATTCAATGTTATTTAACTAAAATGCAGACTTCTGGACACATAATAAAAATAATGTGAGAAAAATAATCACTAACGAAACACATTGTTATTGAATTGACCACACGCACGCACACACATTAAAAGTGTTCACAGACTGAAAAATATGCCATTTTCGTATCATTATTGTCAACTAGTCAACAAGTATAAATACTGACAGTAAATAAGAAATATGATGATTCTGTTCCTTATATAAAATTGACATTTCAAGACGTATTGATTTAATTCATAAAAAGCAACCTACCTTGTTTCTGTTAAATAATGAAATCAAAAACCTTACACACCACGCTCCCTTAGCAGCTAATTGAATACTCTACTGTTATCACAACCCGTTGCGTTATCGAGCATTGTCCTTGACTGTAGACTTCAAACGACCCATTAAGATTTGCAAAATCTATGTGACCTATAATTTTTCATGTGATGTCCCGTTAAATTATGTACTTCGGCATATGTTGTATATTGATGTGCTCAATCTTGCCCTGTGTAAATATACACTTTCATTATTTGAACTAACAAGGTCAATATATTTACAATTAATAATATGTAAACTTACGTAAAATCCGTAATTTCCCATACAGTCGACTATAGCAAACATTGTTCAAGATATCGGTAAACTAGAGTATTTCAATAATACATATTATGATTAAAGCATGTATTTCCATATGTGCAGATACAATGTATTTCATAACTCTGGAGAGAATGAGAGTGGCAAATTATTTTTCTATAGTTTACGTTTAAAAATGTCCTTATCTATGAAAGTTCCTATATAATTTTACCACAATGATAAGACTAATAAAAATAAAACAATGCAATAAATAGATACGAACTTCTATTGTGGGTCTACTTATCAACAGTCTTCGAATGTTCACCGTCTCCAAAAGCTGTCGAAAACCGCCAATTGGAGAAAGTCATAATTGCTATGAATTGAAAAGACTAAATAACGAAGTTAACAGGACGATGGCTATATAAGGTAAATATGAATATGTATTGAATGATAATGAAAGGGACTTTGAAGAAATATAAGAAAACGATAAATGATAAAATTAAACAAATATTAAGTTGGCGAATGATATGTTAGTATTGTTGATTGTATGCTTATTCCGTTGTTATGAATGTATATTGTGGTGATAGTTAATTCGCTAAGAATAATAATTCGCTCATTTATTTTAATTTCATACATGTATATGTTTATCCCCCGTCTAGGGGAAAGGTGTTAGGGCTGTTTAGGATAATTCTGTGGGTCTTATTCTGTCCATATGAAAGGGACTTTGAAGAATTATAAGAAAACGATAAATGATAAAAATAAACACACATTGTTTGCAAAAACTATTTAAGTAATGTTGATTGTATGCTTATTATGTTACAATGTATGTTTGTGGTAGAAATAGTTTAAACAATTTCATTTCCTCATTTATTTAAATCTAATATTATATAATAACTCTATTTGTTGTTTTCCAAGGAGCACCCTTTCGGAGTACCCGTCTAGGTGGAGGGGGTTAGGGCCGTTTAGATTCAGGGGGTCTTTCCTGGAAAAGTGCCGTCCATATGTTGTACAAGGGACAACTATAAAGTGGGAAGGGACGATTAAAAAGGCTTTCTTGATGGGTATAAATCGAAAGGGTTTCACAAAAAAAATGCCTTCTTTAGATGTTTTATGGCGTACTCTTAATTGAGTTGGGAGTTTTTGATGAATTTCTTTTTTCAGACAGGGATTCGTGGGAAAAAAAATCTCCCATAGGTTTTTCGAGGAGTTTCATCAAAGACGGGAGGGGGGGGGGTTAAAATGATTGTCCAAGGGGATTATGTTTGTTTGTTTGCTTGGGATTAACGCCTTAACGAGACATGACTGGTCTTACCGCGCTGAATACTATAATTGTTGACACACGATACTAAATTCTAAAAAAGTTACTACAATATTATTAAATAAGATAGTTAAATCTTTGAACACAGGTTAATCTCTTTTAAGTAGAGCATCAATGTTTTAGAACAAAACCCTCTGAAAGTGAATTTGCTTTTTGATGTGTATCACGAACCTGTGATTCAAGGCAAAACTGTTCGGCAGCGAAAAGTTAAAAGCGACCTATACAAAATGGAGCATTATCACCTGTTTACTTAATGTGTATTTTAAATGTGTTCTTTTCGATATCTAAGAAGAATCAGTTTATCCTGACGGTTTACAAAAGAGATAGAGATTGCGACACGTTCAGGCAGGGTTTTTTTATCATAAATGTTGTTGCTATATCTCAATTTCATTTCCATTCAGATGACGTTACTAATTGACGGTTTTAAATCACTATTTGGTAAAAGTATTTCTTATTGTTGAGTATTGGAAGATTCTTTACCCAAATCATTATTTATCTATTCCTCGCATCCTTTAATCCTATATTCATAAGATATCAAGAGTTAACGCCTCATCATTTTATCGGATATAAGACTTTAAATGGACGCGGATAGTTAATCTGAAAAAAAAATACAAATTACAGTTATACTGTAAAATTTAAAACTAGTATATTCAAATAGTCTTTGCTTCAATAGTAAATATAGATGCATTAGTAGTCTCATTAAAGATGTAAAATGATTTCCAAAGACGTTCCCACCTACTTAACAACGGTCTTTGGAACCATTAGTGTTAACTTGGTACAAATATTCATGTTCTGTTTTGAATTTTGAAAAACGTTTCTTTAAAACTTACGAGAATTTGATGATTTTTTTTTCAAATTTAAAAGACTAGTAAAAGCTTAGGGAAAATTGTTAGCATACGGAGGAAAACTTCCTCAACATGTTTATGAACATATTTTGGGTTTATTTTACGTTTTACTAAACTACCCTTTTACACAAAGGCCAAATAGTTAAATTTCTTTTGGTTTGTTTAAAAATTGTATGACTGTATTTTAGTTTAAAGTTAATTTTCTAGCATAATTTTTATCATTTGGCGATACTCTAGCTGCATATTGATGAGAATGCTTCGTTTGTACGTAAATAAACGGAAGTTATTCTTGCTTCAGCATAAAAATCGATGTGGTTCAAAATGCGCCTATAGTCAAACGAAAGCCTTCGTAATGTATTGTGAAACGGTATACTAGCTGAACCATAGAGTCATAATTTAACTTTGATCGTATATGGCTTCTGTATATCTTGAATCTTAAGTATGACCTTGTTAATCAATTAATACATTTAATGTTGTTAAGCATTTTTTGTGTGGAATAATGGAACGTTTTTTTATCAAATATAACATTAAATTTTGTTTCATCAACAACAGTATTTTTGAACCAGATATGAAAAGTTCAGGGGCATTATTATTGTTTTCCGTAATTGACAGAAATAAACAGATTTTTTTTTATTTTGAAAGTCTTAATCCACTTTCTGCTGCCCATTTGTTAATTTTATATTAATTTTGTTGACGTTTTCGTTAAATTGTTTGCATATTTTCGACCGATAACATGTTAGAAAATAGTCAACATCAAGAGCAATCTAAGAGTTTTTAAAACCAAACAGTGTAACCGAACGTATACTTCCCTGAGTACCATCTTGTTTTTTTCGACGGTTCTTAAAACTGATCGAAACACGTCTTACTTTAAAGTTAATATCGCATAGAAGGCAAGAAATAGAGATTTCAAGTCTACCATTCATTTCCTCGTCCTATAGATCTGTAACAATACCATATGTCCATGTTATATCAAAAAACGGAACCAAATTCGAGTCGAGGAAGGTGATTGGTTGTACTACGATTTATTAGAAATCTGACCAAAAGTAAGAACTTTAGTAATTAATTCTTTATAAGTTCTAAATACCAATCAAGGCGGTGTTTATCATTTTTTTCAAATGTTTTGCATATACAGATTGTAAGTGAAATATAACGGTATATTGCAAATCAGTGCAGTCTTTTACAGGTTCAAGAATAAAAAAAAAAAAAAAAAAAAAAAAAAAAAAAAAAAAAAAAAAAACAACAACAACAAAAAAAAAACAATTCCTCCTTATCAAACATGTCATCATCTGGCCAGCTTCTGTATCGTTTGCCTTCTTGGTAGAATCAAGTTAAATTAATAAAATTAATAAAAAAGGAAGAAGTGTATATTCTATTATTTGCTGAAGTATAATTTATTTGTTATCTTTCAACTTAAGATTTATGCTGTAAAAATTAATTTGAAACAATTATTAGAGAAGTAGTCTGCAAATACTTTATGCATTTGTTTGCGCATTTAGCTTTTGTATTGGTGCATTTTGCTTTCAAGAGCTTTAAGGTAAACAGTGGCTTTCCAAAAAAAAATCGCTTATTTTTTAACTGCCTCCCATACCTTTTCACATCGGAGACTTTGGCTTTATGTTTGAAACAGACGTCTGCCATCACTGGCTTATGAATTGACGAACTGTTTACTATTTGTAACATTTCTTTTACTTTAAAGTTCAAGGTTTTCAGATGATGGACAATGCTCATTGTTTAAGGCTTCCGTTTGCGTGCAGCTTTATTGCATTCATCGTTGAACCATCGTTTCTTTACTTTGCTGGTAGTACTAGTACTGTTGTAAGCAGGTTGTTATAATGTTGAAGAACATGAATCAGCTTTACAATCAGAATTGAAATCTAAATCGGTCTCTGTAATCTCTTCAGAATAGAGCCTTGAACATGTTTCCCAATTTTTATTTTATTGAAATATCGACGTTCTTTAACTGTGACAAAGTTATTTGATGTTCATTACAATAGAAAATGGTTTCCGACGTACTTGTCATCAAAAACTGCCAAATGAAGTCTAATTATAGTGTAGAGTGGACAAACGAAAGACCAATTCAAGGAATTGAGCCTGTAATAGAATGTAAGTATGTTGGAGTATTTCTGTTTAACAGACACATTTAAAAATTGTCTATAATTTCTCAGTAAATGTACCCATACTTTTTGTAGATTGGCTAGCACGTTGTTATGGGCATTAAAATCGCCCAACAAAGTAAAAGTTTAGAGAGGTTCTTTAAAAGTATGTTCCAAGATCATCAACTGTCACCGATAAATTTAGAGTTGATGTATCGAACAAACAGTTACAGGTCGGTGTAAAATAACCCGTCCATTTTGCTTGTAATTCTGTTTTCAATTTTAATTGCCTTTGAGGAAGGAAATGACGAATCGCTTGATGTTCTAGGGTTACTAGTACATTTACGAGGGTGCATCAATAAATTCGTAAACTAATTCAATAGCGGGGAAATGATTTAATCCAAATACCTTAAATGATTACTCCTGCTCAAAGTTATGTCCCATGCATGATTTGCACTTCTCCCATCTCTCGACCCATGACTCGAACACGTGTTGCATCCCGTCACGAGACATCTCCCGCAGCTGTTTGTCCACGCCACACCT